TCTCTCTCTCTCTCTCTCTCTCTCTCTCTCTCCCTCCCTCTCCCCCCATCCTCTCTCTCAACAGTCATATTTCTTAGATGTTGTACAAAACAAAACAAAATTAAGGAACAGCTCCTGGCTATCTAGTCATTTGTATACATTCAGTTATATGTCTTCACATTGGTCTTTCTTCCTTCCAGACTGGAGACCTGCTGTGATGCTGGGAGCTATAGATTGTGCTGATTTTTCCAATAAGAACATCTGTTATAAGTTTGGAATAAAGAGCTACCCTACTGTGAAGGTAAAAATTCTGGTGGTGAGGGTTACAATTCCTGTTCTCTACATTCAGCATGATCTTGGATAATTATAGGACAGCATCCCAGAAGTAGCTGATCTAGATCTTTTTCCTCCATTTGGAACCAGCATTAGATTGCTGAGCACAACGAAGTCTGGTAAAGAGACATGCAGTACCATCTATCTGGTGCATCCTGTAAGGCAGTTAGAAACACTTGTACCTGGTGGTCTCTCAGGAGGGGCAACTTGCAGCATCCCCAAACTTCCTTTTGTGTCCTTTAGAAATTTGTGTAGCTGAATTCAGATGGCAAACTCTTCAGAAGTGCTACATGGTTTCTAGTTGGATTTTGGCAGGAAAAGAAAAGAAAACAAAAATTGGCACTACACACTTTCATGATGTCACTAACTTACATGGCGTGACCCCTGGCCACCCATTGATCTAGAACAGGGGTAGTCAACCTTTTTATACCTGCCACCCACTTTTGTATCTCTGTTAGTAGTAAAGTTTTCTCCAACCGCCCACCGGTTCCACAGTAATGGTGATTTATAAGGTAGGGGACAAAATCCCTACCGCCCACCATGAAAGCCAGAATGCCCACTAGTGGGCGGTAGGGACCAGGTTGACTACCACTGATCTAGAGATTAGAGATTATTTGTACTGTGCAAATGTGTCTCTTACCACAGCCAGAAACAGACATGGATCCAGATTGCAAGTTGCAGAAGACAATCCAAAGAGCCCCCTATCCACTGCCTTGCAATTCATAGGCCAAAATGAATCCCAGATAACCAGGCTACAGGGTGCCCTAGTCATCACTAAAGACTTTATTCATGAGGAATCAAAAATTAGATGAATTGTGAGGATTTTGTCAGTGAAATAATGTACAATTGGTTATAACAGCCAAGTGGGACATTTCTCTCTCCAGTTTTCCCTGAAACAGAATTAGAAACCCTGAATAGGGGTGACAGCTACTGACTCAATCAGGGAAAAGGAGCTTACTTTTTCTGCTTTACGGGAGACCATGCTTTGTTCTCTTAATCACTTTGAGATAAAAATGAGCTCTGATATATGCTACCTACATGTTCTGGCCCTGAAATTAGAGAAACCATTTGTTGCCACAGAGGCCAGGAACTTCTAGGCTTTGTTAGAGCCATCCCCCGAGCACATTAGGGTTGAAAGCCCAACAGCAAACAATGGGGGTTCACTACCAGCCCTGAGACTACTCCAAGCATCCCGAGGAAGAATCCTGCCCATAAGATCCCCAGCTTGTCTCCACAGCTGCAGTATCTCAAGAGCAAAGTCCTTGGTCAATTTTAAAGACAAACCATCTTGGTGCTGATCGTGCTGAAAGATACAAAAGTCAGCTGAAGGTATTTCAAATAAAGGAACTTGGTTGCCCCTGCCCAGCCAGGTTTCAGGTGCCACCTCTTTCCCAAACAGTTTGTGGGTGGAGGTGATTTTTCTGCCATTTGTTTCCACCTTTAAGCCAAGCTTCCAGCAAACTGGCCATGTAGCCTCTAAGGATGAGTGGTTGGGTTGGAAGTTGAGATACCATCAATTTAGAGCGTAGAAGTTTGCTGTACACTATGGATTTTATGGATTAGACACGACTTGTATTAGGTTACTTCCATATTGTTGGTTGGTTAGTTGGTTGGAGCCAGTGCATACTTCTGAGATTCAGTGTAACTGTTGAAAGGAATGATATACCGTGATGGTAAACATCCATGGATTCAAATTTATTTCTTGACACCAAGGAAGCTGCATAATTCTCCCTCTCCTAAGTCAAAGCTTTCTTTTGTTGAAGGTACATGAGACAGTATAGCACCTAGTCCTGGTTGTTAGGACGTTCACTGTAAAAAAAAAAAAGAACAGAACCCCACTAGCTTAATGTTCATGGAAAATAGCAAATACATTAGGCTTGCAGAGAGAGGACTGATTTTAGTAGACAAAGATAGTAATTCTCTTCGTAGGATTTATAGTCCTGGATCTGAATTAATCCTCACTGTGCAGTTATTTAACATGAAAAGCAATCTTATCCATCTCCAGGAACTTGCCTTTTTTAAACTTAAGTTTCCTATTTACATATATAAGCCTTTCTTGGGTTTACATTCAGTTTTTGTGATAAGATGATGTGGCATTTTCTGCTTCCTTTTCCTTGTATTTTGTTAAATCTCTAAAGCCTGGTCATTGCACAAGCTCTTGATTTGTGTACATTTGATCAGGTGGAAAGTACACAGCTGGCAGGACATGCTCTAAACCTTTCCAAAAGAATCAACATAGGAAAGGGAAGGCATATTTGCTTGGTAATTCAGTTCGGTAGCTTTGCCCTCTCCAATGGCACTGGCAGCATAGGGATGAATTTTTCCCACAGAACAATTAGAAAACTTAATTTGCAGTTATATTTCAAATGAGTGATAAATATGTTTTGGAGGTGATATAAAATGGGGCAAAAACGATAAATACATCTTAGTGCACATACACACACACATAAAATCCCATCCTCATGCTCAGATATGATATCTGCGCTAAGGGAATGTAACTGCCTGAGACAATATTGTTTAAGATTTTGTAAAACAATTTTATTGCAAACCAGTTGGAGAACGCTCTCTCTGTGTGTAACAAACAATTTTAAAGAAAAGAAAATAATGTGAGAGCATATCAATTTTTTAAAAATGAGGAAAACAGGAAAGCAAAACCAATAACCTAACAGGACCTGGGTGAAAAGAGAAGCTTTGGGCAGGTCCATCACATATGAAAATATGTACCTTTTTTTCCTTTTTACACTTCCCAAAGCTTGGGCTTAGGTTGAACATGCCCAGAGGTCAAGAAATATTGGAATATAATTTGATTGTGGCTAGAAGAAATAACAAAACAGAAAATTGAACCCAACTATTTCTATTAGGATAAAAACAGAAAAATATAATAAAAAAGATAAATACATTATGCTACATATCTTAACAGCTGCTAGGATTTCCGACGCACAATTTTGGAAGCAGGAAAATATACCATCAGAGGATGTTTTATAAAAAAAAAATTAGACTGTGCAGACTGAAATTAAGAGAGAGTCAATATATTAATGTCTGGGATACCTGGTATAAATGGTTTAAGAATAAAAAGAAATCAAAATGGCAATTAAAGAATAAGAAACTGTAAATACTTATATCTATATTTATATCTATACTTATTTATATATTGTTGAAATTGTATAATGAAAGAAACTGTATATAGAAAGATGATAAGGAAATGTAAAAGATGTCTTGACGTTGATATAATTATGTATAAAGTTTTATTTTATGTTTTTAAATTTTGAAAACTAAATAAAATTTAATAATTGTTTAAAAGAAAGAAAGAAAGAAAAGAGAAGCTTTATAGATCCTTACAAGGTATTCATGTAGATGTGCTATGAATTTGGGAAGAGACGGGAAATATTCCAGAATGCTGCCCCTATCATAAGAATTAGGGTTTGGGAGGGCATAAAAATACCTTGAAGAGACAGAATTTATAGTGACAACTGTTTGGCTGATTTTTGGCCAAATATGATAACGTTAGGAATTATCCTTTCTCTGGAGTGTATAGAAAGTTTTCAGCTAAAATTGTAGCTATGAGACCATGTTCCTGGGGACGTGGGCACACAAAATGTGAAAAACAAGGAAAGAACCCCCCCAAATTCCTTCAGCTCCCTGATGGTTCCTACAAAATGATAAATCATAAATTGTGTGTTGGAAAACTACCACGGTGAGGTTCACAAACACACACACTAAAGCAGATCAGAGATTTGTATGGCTTAAAGCTGTGTGTGGAACCAATTACTGGTTCATCTGATCCTAGCAAGTTTATATTTCTGGCATCATCTTTTAATACAGCAGCTACATGCAGCTACACGAACTATTCTTTCATCTGGTATTTTTGCTAAGAAATGGATTATGTTTTTTTTCCCCTGGGAATGCTTTTCCAGTTCTGTCATTACATCTTCCCTATGAAATGACCAACATTCTTTGGTTGTTCCTCTGGTGGTGAGAATGGGGTATTTATTCTGGATTTGTGGGAAATGCCCAATCTGGCAAGGAGGAGGAATCAAGTGGGGAATAATCTATGAATTGTTTGCAGTTGCAAGAGATCCAGGACTACCCCCGTCCAACTTCCACCTTGCCTTCCCCACACCCAAATTCCAAGAAACAGCATCTGTTTGTTCCCAGAGGAAGACAAGCAGTCTGGGGAGAATCCTGTATTGTGGGTAGAATTGTTTGAACTTGAACGCCTCGTGTGTTGATTGTTGCTTGGGCCTGACAGGATCCCAGAACAGAATTCAGTAGAATTGAAAGAGGCATTTTAATTTTAATTTAATTTTAAAATAACAATTCACAGGGATTTTAAAAGCAAAGCATTATATATACAATAGTTTAACAAAAAGACAGTTTTTAACAGAAAGATATAAATGGATTGAATCATTGATTAATTGATAATGTGACATCAAGTTGGTGTTGAATTTTAGTGACAACATAGGAAGATTTTCTTCATGATGATCTGTTCCTAATCTAGTTTTTCAGATCTTCCAAAAGTGAACAGAAAGGGAAGATATCAACAAAAAACTGTCTTGGTCATTTTCTTCCATCTCAATTTATATACTTCTCTCCCAGCTTGTAAACTGATGGGTAAGAACTTCAGATTACAACTGGATAATTGTGTTTCTTATCATACTCCAAAAGCAACGTTTAAAAGCAAAATCTAACTGGTTTATTTCTTTCCAGTTTTTCAAGGTGTCCTCCCAAAAACCTGAGGATGGCGTACAATTCAACAGTATGTACCATATACAGAATTCTTGCCAGTAAAGTGGCAGTTAAATAAATTGTCTCTTTCATTCCTTTCCTATACCTCTTGTTACATATTTTATTTGGGCAAGGCCTTCTCAAATCAACAAATTGGGACTTCCATTTCAGGGTGCCAAAATTCTGTATCCAGATAAATAATATGGGTTATTATAGGTAAATCAGAACCTGATTAACTTATTTAGAAAAGAACATATGGCTTGACTTTCTCTTGTGGATTAATTCAGGGCTTAACCTTGTTCAGAATAATATATGCTTTCTTTTTTGCTTTAAAAAAATAAACTATAACCAGTTGTGGTTGGGTTTTACGTTTCCAAATAAACTGTGTGAGTACTGGCTTATTTTCTGCTTACCTGGATGAAGATCTCCTTAAAACCTAAATATTATTATCTAATATTATTATTAAGGATAACCAAGGAGTGTTTCTCTTGGAAGAAACTTAAGAATCTGTAATAAGGTATTCTCAGCATGTTTGTTAGGCTGCAATATGGACCTGCCATAGTGTAGGCAAATCATTGAATCAAAAGAAGAAGCAAAAAAGCAAAGCGGAAAGTACTAATGCGCTGCTGCATGAAGAATGCCTCCAGCAGACTGAAAGGCCAGCATCTAAGTCTTCTTATGAACTCCAACGGATGCTGTTGATTGTTTCTTGAACTATAAGAAGGTCAAACAATTATTCCTTCTTTATTGGTGATACTTGTTAGACCACATTTGTGAAGTACTTGGTCAAGAGAATTGCTCAGACTCTCTGTGGAGGAAATCCCTTTCAGGAAGTATTGTACTCTGGAATGAGCCATGTAAGAACTAAGTTGGGTGTGGCTCCATGGCAGAAGGGTTGTGTTTGAGTGGCTAGACTCACATTTACTTTTGCCCTTCCATTCTCAACTGAAAATGGAACTTGATGGGGATACAGCAAGCATAGAGAGATATTTGCTGGGACAAATGAGCTACAGGTAATTGGAATTCACCTTCCTCTAAGTAGCTGTTCAGGGAGGGAAAAATGGCTCGGTTCCTGTTATTCCATGTTTAGAGGTTTGACCTTGAAAAATCTATAAAGATTATTTGCATGATGTGATCATTTCCAGCGTACTCTCTCTACATGGAAACAATTGATAAACTAATCAGAAAAAACTGGAATCCTGACATTTAAGCACTTGGAAAGCATTTGTTGGCAACAGTCCCCAGTATAATCAGGTGGTAGAAGCTGCTGTGACTTTGCCCATGCATGGTATCTTCTGGGGTAACCTGAATTATCTTGAGTTATCTTGACTGGTTGACTGGGATTTCACAATGATATGCTTCCTTTCCTGTACAGAGTATGAAAAAACCATTGAGTCTCTAAGAGGGACCATAATCACTTTAATGGAGATACATGGAGATACATGGCCTTCTGCCAGCCCACCTTTGCGCCCAACAAGGTAATTTGAAAGGAGATTGTAAGACAAACTATCCCTTTTAAGTATCAGTATGCATGCTGTTCGTTTTTCCTTCAACTCAACAGAATATGTAAAAGGGCTTTGGACTCTGAAAACTGAGCATTTAAATTGCATTAGATATTCAAAGTACTTCATTACAACAATTGAATAACATAGGATAATGTTGCTCTGCACACTTAGCAGACTGAAGGTATCAGATCCCTACACCAAAAGAGATTGTAACCTAAAATCATTGATGAGAAGGATAATAGAGAAAGGGAAAAGAAAGTAGAGGCTGGGGCTACAGTGAATCAATGTGAACAGATATACCAGTAACTGGTTTGTGATTTGTACTGCTAAGTGTGTGTATTATCTCTTAAAATATGTATACACCTTCCATGTTGAAAAATCATGGATAATATTTTAAATTCAGCTATAAAGTCACTTGACAGTGGGATGGATGGCATATAAGTTTAATAAATAAGTAAAATAGAACATAAAAAATCAGAATAATGTATATCTTTAATTAAAATCTGTACTATGCTGCGTGAATTGAAAGTACATGATTAATTATTTGTGACTATCGATCTTGATAAAATAATTTCTAACAGTTGTAGAAAAATATTTTAAAATATTAGATATTGTTTCTGTTTTCTGAAATGTTTCTAATATTTTCATGTTGAATTAATTTTTGAATAGTAGTAGGAGATGATCTTGAGATCACATTATCAAGTCAGAAGGCTACAGGAATTGATGGAATATTTATATAAATATTGCAAATCAGTAAAGGTTTTAACCAAGTTATGGGGGCAAATATGGACATAATATTTACCAGATTGAAGAGATCAGTCTACATATTGAAACCAAAGAAAGGCGACTTAACAGTGCGTGAACTATCACACAATAGACTTAATTTCACATGCTAGTAAAATAAATCATCCCACACAGATTAGAGCCCTACATGGAAAGAAAGGGGTGTGTCAAATGTTTAAAATGACTTTAGAAAATGCCAAGAAACCCAAAGAATTCCAAAAAGAGGTCAATAGGTTTTTCACTGATTACCAAAATGCCTCTGATTGTGCCAGCCCAGATTCTTCTCTGCCTTGTGAAGGATTACTGTAGGAATAACACTGTAGCATTGCTTGTCTTACAAAGGAGATAGTGTCTTACTTCTGCAACCCAAGTTATAATTGCCTTTGATAAAATCTTTATTCAGTATGATGATCTGCCTGTTTGTTAATGACTCTGGGTGGTTCAAAATACATGAAACAATATAAAAAGAATATCATAGAGACAACAGACAATAAAACCAGGCTCCAAGAAAAAAAAGGAAGAGCAAATAGCAAACCCCAAACCATCTTACCAGTGACTAATATCCAGGAAAGGAAGCACCAACTTCCCTAGCCCTGGGTTTGGGAGAACAGCCATAGTCTCATAAAATAAAACAAGTATGCCCTTAACTAAAAAAAGCCTTTGTCAACAACGGGCAGTCAATTGCCCCTCTGTAATTGGTTACTCAATTAGTTATATAGAACCCACACTTGGGGTGACATTCTGTGGCCTACCCAAATGGCATGTTCTTTTGTGCAGAATAACTTAGCTTTCCTCAGACTGGTACCTCCCCTCCAATATGTTGAATTAAAATTTCCATCTTCCCCAACCAATATGTTCTTAAGTAATTTAGTAGTTCATCATCAGGGATGATTTCTACATTGTGCTGAGCCCCAGGAATGAAGAAAGGAGGGGGTTTCCATTCAAAGATTCTGCAATTTTGTCCTTTGCTGACAATTAATAGTCTAATTATATTTGTAATTTCTGGTTTTATTTTGTGGACAGAAATATCCATTCATAATACACTCATATTCTCTTGTAAGGAATTGAGTGATTAGCGGAACTGACATTTCATTATTTGGTGTTGTATGTTTTGGAGATAACCATCAGCTTGCAATTTTAAAATATTACATATTATTCATTTTATAAAGTTTATAAACAATGACTCAGTAAATGATGTGTAGTTAGAACAGTGCTTCTATAAACATTGAAAGACAAGTTATAGCTTATAGTATTTGAATATGTGTTGTAACAATTGCTCATTTACTGAATCATTGTTTCTAAATCATTATGAAACTTCTACACACCTATCAAACTTCTTTATATATATAAAGTAGAGTTTGAACATTTCCTGTGGTTTTCTGTTTCTTGACATAATCTACCTTGAAGACCTGACAACACATTGGGTAATCAAACCTATTGTTTTCTCATTTAAAAATAATGTTTATGCATTAGAGCTGATAGTTCACTTGGAATGTGTGATGAGTTGTTTGGTTTTTTTTGGTGGACAAGGTTTAGAAGAATGCAAATTTGTTGAAGTGGGAAGGAAGGAAATCGTGGGCAGACATCTTACTAAAGTCTGCCTTTTTTTGCTTGACAACGGTTTGACACAAAAATGTATTAAAATGTGATTATAAGACTCCTGTAAGGATAAAGCCTAAAATGACTTGAATTGGACACCTAGACATGGGAGACATATGAGATTGGAGTTTAGCTGGCTGTGTGTTATCTATCTTTGCCTTGCTTTTGATTCTGGAATTAGAAATAAACTTAAAAAACCTCAAAACTATTATTCATAATTATATAAACTGATTATGTCTGAAAAAGCATTACTTCTATTCTCTTGGAAAACATTATAGGTAGTCCTCTACTTATAACTACGATTGAAACTGAAATTGTGGTCACTAAGCAATATGGTCATTAAGTGAGTCATCGTGTGACCAGACCCAATTTTCTGACCATTTTTGCATCAAGCAAATTGCCCCAGCCATTAAGCAAATCACATTGCCATTAAGTGAATCACACAGTTGTTAGGAAAATCTGGCTCCTCCAATTAAATTTGCTTGTTGAAAGCCAGCTGGGTTGATTGCAAATTGCAATCATATGACCACAAAACATTTCAACTGTCAAAAAAAAAATCAAGCCAGTTGCCATTTGCCTGAATTGTGATCAGATGACTGCAGGGGTGGTGCAATGGTTGTAACTAAGAGGACAGAAAAGCTGGAGACCAGGAATTCAACCCCCATTTTAGCCATGAAAGTCAGCTGGATGACTTTAGGCCAGTCATTCTCTCTCAATCCAACACACCTCACAGGGTGGTTGCTGTGTGGAAAATAGAAAGAAGGTGTGTTGGATGTGTTCACCACCTTGACTTATTACTAAACTAATAAAAGATGCAAATATATAAAAGCAAGCAAAAGCAAACTTTGAATTGTCATTAAATTAACAATTACCTTGTCAAATCAAATCAAATCAAGTTTATTATAGTCAAAGACCAGAGACCAGAACAAATAAAAACACTCAAGGAATATTCAGTTAAAAAAATTATAGAATAAAGTAATAAATAACAGATAAAATACTATAATATCAACCCTTAAACTGTGCGGCCCATAAGTCATTCAATACTAAAATGCAAAAGAGTAGTAATGCAAAAGGTTTGCAACATCAGTTGTGTCAAATAGCTATGGTGGATTAAATAAAAGCAAGCAAAAGCAAATTTCCAGCTGTCATTAAACCAATTATTACCTTGTCCAAAGGAAAAAGAAAAGAAAAGGGTCCTAATTGCCAGAGGACAGTGGTTTAGAAACAGTGGTTTTCCCCAAAGTTAGGATGTGCTTTTTTCCTTGCCCTGGCTGTATATCTTTAAAAAAAACAACCACCCACCAGAAATAATATTCTATCTTGGTTCTCTGTCCCCAACTCCATAACATGCCTGTCACTTGTTTCAGGACATGTTGTTTTTACATTTCAATGTAAAAATAATCTTAAAATGAGATAAATCAGACCTTTTCAATGTGGGTACGCTGTCAGTCAGTACTGGGTGATGAATGCTGGGAGCGATATCAGTACAGTGGGAGGATGGCTATATGAAGAAACAGTGGCGAAAGCCCTAGCTAGATTTTGTGGAGGTGGACAATTTGCACAAGAATGTTACTTTTGATAGTTGCTCTATATCTCTTATAATACCTGTTCTCTAACAAGTACAGATGTAACAGCTGAAACTTTTTCGTATCGCTGATATATCTGTGCTAAGGAATGATGTTGCTGCTGTATTTGGAAAAGAGGAAATAGGTCCGATTTTTAAAAATTTGCATTCCTATATTCCCATATAAGATCAAAAATCCTGTTAGATTAAAAAATGTATTGCTGTCCCCTACATTCAGGAAGAATGCTCATAAATTGGTTGGGTAAGAGATCTCCTATAGCAGGAGGCAATGGGCAACTAATTTTGCATAAGAAATGTTAATCTGTGCTTGGAACAGTATATAATATTCTTCCTCTTTTTCAGTGTGACAGAACTTCGTGATTTCTTTCTGGTAAACAACGTGACTTATTTGGCCTTGATATTTGAGAAGGACGACTCCTTTCTGAGCAGAGAGGTGAATCTTAATTGATTGTTCAACATACACATCACAGTCAGTATTATTATTGTTTATTAAATTTATATCCTGCTTCTCTACACAGAAAACTTTGAGGCCTCTAACCTAACATTAAAATAAAGACTTGAAATTGGATTAAACCTTTTAAAACACAGGTAGATTGATATCAGTGTGAGTTCAAATAATATGATATTTGCTTTAGTGCAAATTAATACCAGGTTGTGTTTAATGTGATCACGTTAACGCGAGGCTATAGCTTGGGCAATTGAAACGTACACAGGTGCATTTGCCGTTGGGGTTTTAGACGCTGCTAATCTTTGTGTGTGCAAAATGGGAAAAAGGAAGATTCTGTCAGAAGAAAACAGCATGTTTAAAAAAAGAAGTGGTTTGTTATTACCTTGGAGCAAAAATTTGATGTAATTGAGGACATGAATGTGGTTGTAGCAATACTAAAATAAGATATATTGAAACACCCGTATACCTTTTTTGTTTTTATTTTGTTTTCTGTAACTCCTCTGTGATTTTGTTAACCATAAATCTTAATTAAAAGTATATTACTTTATGCTTTATTACAATAATTAATTGTTGTTTAAAATATTTCACTGCCTATTTGCTGATTCACTGGGCTATATGGATGGGAAGTAAAGCACAATCAGACTTGTAACATACTGCTACATTGTGCCTGGGAAATAATTGATAACCAATTACAGGATTTTCTACACAGGTACAGTTTTGGTATTAGGTGTCTAGTAGCGCCCTGTGTGCTGTATTTTGCACTAAAATTTCAGGACACTCTTGAAGGCATGGCAGGGGTCAAATGACTAATGGCTCATTGGGATGACCTTTAATCAACCTGACCAGGAAACCTGCCCCAGATGAGTTTTTAGAGCACGCTCTGATGCACAGTTAAATAGGCTAATTAAACATCATTATGTTGTTATAGATCTATAATTTTTGTGGAAATAAATAAAAAGTACTGTATATTGGCTCTTCCTTCCTGTTCCTTACTGGAATATCTTATATGGGTTAAGCACTCTGTTTGACATATTAATTTAATCCCTGATACTATCCACAATAACTATTCTAGGGATATTTCCCCATCTCTACTGGTTAATTGTCCTGTGAAGTTTTTGGTGATTCTGAGTTTGATTGTTGCTTTGCAGATGTTTCATTACCTGACTAGGTCATATCAGTGCTAGTGAATGAGGAGTTTGCTCCCTGTTTATATGCAGTAGCTTGCCTGCCAGCGTTGGTGGGGGTGTGATTTTCTCCTTGGTAGTTTTACACACCATTCAAATGAGACCATAAAAATGCTAAGAAGGAAATAAAAAGAGCAGAGCACTTCCTTCTCAGCAGTCTGCACCCAGATAAGCAAGGATTTTGTTGTTGTTGTTGTTAGCTGCAAAGTCCGACTCACTGAGAACCCATGGACAACGTTCCTCCAGGCCTTCCTGCCCTCTACCATCCCCCAGAGTCCATTTAAGCTCACGCCAATTGCTTCAGTGACTCCATCCAGCCACCTCATTCTCTGTTATCCCCTTCTTTTGCCCTCAGTCGTTCCCAGCATTAGGCTCTTCTCCATTGAAGAGTCCTTCCTTCTCATAGGCGGCCAAAGTATTTGAGTTTCATCTTCAGGATTGGCCTTCTAAAGAGCAGTCAGGATTGATGATCTCTAGGACTGACTGGTTTAATCACCTTGCAGTCCAAGGGACTCACAGCAGTCTTCTCCAGCACCACAGTTCAAAGGCCTCAATTCTTTGGCTCTCAGCCTTCTTTATGGTCCAACTTTCACAGCCATACATTGCAACTGGGAAAACCAAGCAGGGATTAACACCAGGCAAATAATCATGAAAAAAAGAAGACCCTAATCAAGGAACTGCTAAGGAGAACCTTTGCCCCACCCCCAATACTGTATATAAATAGGGAGGAAAGCCCACACTCACTAGCACTATTGATTTTGTCTAGTTGGGTACTGAAATGCAAACAACCAAGCTCAGAGAGCTCCAAGGTTCCACAGTTTCACCTTGAACTACATGTGTTCTCTTCTATTTGTCCTGTGTTAGGTCAAGTTAATATTTCTGGAGATATTTGTTTTATAGCTTTGGAGTGCTTCCTCTTCCCTGGCTGGTGCTTATTTTATTAAAAATAACCGCTATGCATATGTGCATATGTGTCCAGATACCATCTCTTGACAAGGTTAAATTGAAGGAAGCAAATGGTATAGTTCACAGAACATGTTTTCTCAATATGATTAAACAAAGTAATTTTTAGCTTCCAATTGGTTAATCTCCTATGAAAGAATTTATTTTACATAATCCGCCCCCACAAATGAAAGGAGGAAACCAGGATAATGCATCTGCTGGTTGGCTTTTTTCATTCAAGGTGACAGGGATATCCCTTTTATTTCTTCACAACAATTACATTTGTATGGTAAATTAGAATATAATCTCTTTTTATAAACTGTATTTCCAGTTAAAGTAAACATGGATAACATTGACAATAGGATTTTGTGAATTTGACCAGACTTTTGTTTTATTTTTTTTTGACAGACTAAGCGTGAATTTCAGATTTAAAATTAAGTAGGGAACATCAAAAAGATATTTAATTTAAAATCTAATATACATGTGAAAGGATGTAAATTCTGATTCTAGCAGCATTGACATGTGGTGGCAACACAGAAGATTTCTCCATGCATGAAAAAGTGTGGATGAGCAGCTGCTGATTTCAGCTCCAAGCATCTTAGTTATTTCCCTCCCAATATCTCTTTTTAGCTGCCAGTTTTTCTAAAGATGGAAGAATCATTTGTTCTTCGAAAGAGGAGAAGGTGGAACTAACTAATGGACATCCATTATGTTGCTCGTGTTTTTATGTACCCTCTGGCTTTCTGTGCCTATTTATTTCTCAAAGTCTGAACAGAAAGACTTCTACCATGCAGTAAAAAATATTTATAAACATAAACACAAAGATTACGCTAAAAATCTTTAATTGTGTAATCATTACGTGGAGTATATGTAATGGTATTACCTACCTCTTTTCCAGTTCAGGATTCAAAGGAGGCTTTGGCAATGGATATATCATTGCTAAAGAAATAATAATGGAACATTCCAAAGAATGTGTGTGCCTCTGATTCATCTACAAATATGTAACATGATACTGTTTAGATGTGAATAACTTGAAAAAGATCAGCAAGACTTCATTGGTAGTGGTTCGTGAGAATGAGTGAGAGCTGCAAGAGAGTCTTTCAGAAGATTAAATTTTTGAATAGAGGAGGAAGAAGGTAACTTCTTGTGTCCAGCTGAGCAATATTGACTCATGCCTTGTTTGATTCTAGGTAGCACTGGATATGTCTCAATTTGAGAATATTGCAGTAAGGCGAGTCCTGCAGAGCAATGAAGAGCTAGTGAAGCAGTTCAACATCACTACATTTCCATCGGGCCTCCTTGTGACCAATAATGGTTCTTGCAGAAGCATCCCTGGGTGAGATGTTATCATAGTCACAAAATCCTCCCTGTTCTGTTTTATCTAGTACTGTTGGTAAAATACATAAATTCTTGGTCACTCATGTTCATTCTCCTTGAGTTCAAGAATTTAGGTTCCTGTAGCAACCCAGAGAATTTTTTGTGAGGACTTTCTATCCAATTCACGATTTCTTTTACCTATGTTACAAAAATTGACTGTCTATTCTTAAATTTTGTTTCATAATTATTCATGTAAGGAATTTGCAGAATATTTATATTTTGGGGATTCTCGGACCAGTTCCTGTGTGAGGGATATTATTTAGAATTTATTTTTATTTTATTGTTATTTAGAAGGGGAGCTTATGAAATTTACAGGTGACACCAAACTTGGGGGAATTGCTAAGATTTTGGAAGATAGTTTCAAGAATCAGAAGGATCTTGACGGGCTTCAGCAATGGGTCCTGTCCAATAAGATGAGGTTCGGTGGTTAGAAAAATAAAGTCCTGCATTTAGGCAGGAAAAACCAAATGCATAGGTATAGAATAGGTAGTACCTGGCTCAACAATAGCAATGGAGAGAATGAGGTGTCCTAGTGGACCACCACTTAAGTATGAGCCAGCAGTGTGCTGCAGTTGTCAATAAATAAATAAATACAGTCCAAGGCTGCATCAACAGGGATAGCATCAAGATCACAAGAAGTGATAATACCGCTCTATATTGCGCTAGTGAGGCTATACTTGGAATACTGTGTCAAGTTCTGATAGCCACAATAGAAAAAAAATGTGAAGATCCTAGAAATAGTGCCGAGAAGAGCAGTAAAGATGATAAGAGGCCTGGAGGTTAAACCACATGATGAATGGTTAAGGGAACTTTGTATGTTTAGTCCAGGGGTCTTCAAACTTGACAGCTTTAAGATTTGTGGACTTCAACCCCCATAATTCCCCCTCCACTCATGTTAGCTCAGGAATTCTGGGAGTTGAAGTCCACAAGTCTCAAAGCTGTCTAGTTTGAAGACCCTTGGTTTAGTCTAACAAAAGGAAGTATTAGATGAAATATGACAGCTGTCTTTCAGTACTTGAGGACCAGTCACAGAGGCTGACTTATTCTCATGAATACCTGAGGGAGGACAAGAAGCAATGGGTGGAAGCTTTTAAAGAGATATCATACCTGGAACTAAGGAGAAATTTCCTGATAGTAAGAGCATTGAACCAATGGAACAGCTTATCTCCCCAAGTTGTGGATGCTGGAGGTTTTCAAGAAAAGATTGGACATCCAGAATGGTAATTAGGAGACCAGCCTTTGGGCAGTGGGTCAGACTAGAAGACCTCCTTCCAATCCTATGATTCAGGCATTGCAGAAAACTGCAACAGGATAGATTTGTACAGAACCTCTGTGATCATTGTAGTAAGAGATCAGCCTGTTATATCTGTATTCGTTATAATTCAGACAGCTGCATTGTCAAAACCTGTTTTCAGCCAACTGTTTGGGCGTTCGAGTGTTTTTATCTGCTAGCTGGGTTGGAAATGACGGAATCTCCACTGATGGGAGTTTCTTGTTGTGCGTGAAACAAAAAAACTGGATTTTTCTTTGGGGTGTTGCTCAGAAAGAAATCTCCTGGGATATAAAGGATTTGTGTATGGAGGGTGTGGGTATGGGATATGTCTTGTTAATTTCTTACAAAAGCATTTCAGGTGCTGTTATTCCAGAGAGGCAAGCTGTGTTCTTGTTATTGCATCACACCCAGACCATAATTAGAATCCTCTAAGGCAGCAATATCAAACCTGGTTCTGTATAGATGTGAGGAACTGTGCCTCCAATTACTATGATAAATTTTTGACTGTGGTCCTGTAGTTTAATCTAAGTCTCCCCCAAACTAGACTTGAGCAATGTGTATGCCACGTGTGGCCCCACCCATTTGTGGTAAACTCTTGTATCCTTTAGTATCATGACGCGAGACCTGGTATATATTGGATTAATGCCATCTGATCTACACAGTTTCTTGTCTTGTACATTCCTTCTTCCGCCTAATGATTTATATACACTGACTTTTTTGTGGTTAGCTGTACATGTTAGGAGATTTCCTCTGAAGATAACATATAATCCAGCACTACTTGTACTCACTATCTAAAATAAACAGTTGTAACTTTTAATGCTGCAGTGTAATATGTCAACACAGTAAATTATTAATTCATTGAGAATCTTCTTGAGAAAAAAAGTGATTCCCTAGTTGTGGACCATTTAAATTTGAACTCCTATCTCTTTGCATAGTAGCTTGGAAGCTGAATTTTGGGGCACAACTTAATAGACATCAGAATGGTACCTTTTGATATATTCACCAACTGTAAGTTAAGTTGAACAACTGAATTGTGTATCATTAGATTCCTTTTAATTAGCATCTGCAAAATTACAATACATAGAAAGACATAACATAGCTGGTTGACTCAACTTGTAAGTGTCCCAGCTGTTTATGAAGCACCAGACTTCTTATTTCAAATGGGCCAATGAAAGGAATGGGAAATGGGCCATGTTTTTTTAAAAAAATATTTTCTCTTTCCCATATTCTTGGTTATTTTTTCTTCTGGATTTAAACTGCAATGATTAAATACTCAGAGTTCCTTTCCAGATTTCCCCATAAACCTGACTGTAAAAAATATGATTTCTGTAGTAGAATTGTCAAAGTCTGGAATGCCCTGCCTGATTCAGTTGTCTCAGCTACAAATTTTCACAGTTTCAGTCACAAATTGACTTCCGTGGACCTTACTTCATACTTAAGTGGTCAGTAGAGGGGGAATGCATAAGTGCACTAATGTGCCTATCGTCCCTATCATTGTATTTTTATTCTCTTGTTGTTGTTTGACTAATTCCAATAAATAAATAAATGTTGAAAACTCTCTGAGAATGTCATGCCCCTGGTGGAGACTGACTCTGAGGAAGAGGAGGAACAGCCAACAGGGAGTGGGAGTGTGGCTCCAGAGGTGGTAGAGGAGGCTGGGGAAGGGCAGAGGCCGGCTGAGTAGTCAGAGGAGGATCCAGGCCCATCCCCTATCCATCCTAGGTCACGGAGGGAGGAGAGGATCAGGGAAAAGCGAGGTCTACTCAAGGGGAGATTACTATGATTGTCCTCGTGGCTTGCAGGTGGGAGCTATGTATATAAGTTTGCAACTGCGCAGTAAAGAATTTGTAGGAGTCAATTTAGTGTTCACCTTGAAAGCATCTTTGCTGGCGTTCTTCCAATGGACTCTCCTTGGTTATTTTCCTGGAACGTATGATTAATTATCTTGGCTTGCTTCGGAACTCTCATCAATGTGGTTTGTTTTGGTTTTTTGTTTGCCTCATTATTTACTTTTATGACTTTAAACTGTGCCTAATAAAACAGTGAAGTTAAGCTGAAGGCCTTACTGGAATTTAATGTATGTTTTGGGTTTGGGGTTATTTTGAGAGACTACGGGTCATCACAGAGAACATGGCACAACTGGGAAGGCCTACACTGACTATTGCAGTGAACAAGAACATTTATGTTTTTTTTAAAAGTGTGTTGTTAGGTTTTTAGAGCCGGGCTTTTAGGGGCTCAGGAATGAGAATCAAATCCTTCAACTTCATGCAGTAGCAAATCCATAGTTTGTGCAGGTCTTTCAGCTATGGAAATAGGTGTGAACATAGGACTTTGCTGCTTTCGTCCCTGCAATTTGTGCCCCTTTTTAGACATAAGTGCCATCAAGAGATCCATGGTGACTGGGGGCAGGGTTTGCATTGCATCACTTTTGACAGCTTTGCTCCCCTTAAGATACTGCCGGCTATGGTTTTATAAGGCAGTGATTGTTTTGTTATTCAGGAAGGTAATTCCACATTGAACCCAGTAGAATTAGTGACTGAAAATTACTCATGCTTATATCACTGTAACTAAGCATCCTGGTCCACCATGTATGAAGCTGGCATAAATACTCTTGCATTAAGTGGACATCTCCAGGCCATGTACCTGATGCTTCAGAGGGATTTCAACTCCATTCCCATTTATCCATTTTCTTGATTTAGAAACCATTTACTGGTACTACCTTAATTTCACCAGGATTCAGGCACAGAGTATTGATCCCCCTTTTAGTCTATTATTGCTACTGGGCATTGCCCCAAGCCTTTCCCCATTCTTTATCATGACTTCCAATGCTTTACGTAGACACAGTATTAAATAGCATCAAAGTACCTTGTGTTTTTCTCTGGCAAAATTATCAACTGAAAAATATTCATCCGGTGTTACCTTTTGTGTTCAGCCTTGGAGCTTGTGATTCTCTGCCTAGTTTGCAGAAGGGAAGTTTTATTTCACATTATTTGGAAACAGAGATAATTGAGTGTGGTCTTCTGAAAACCTGGCAAGTGATCAACTATGTTCTGACCTACCACCTCACACCCACCCAGCTGCTCATCTCCTCCACATGCATTTCTAATTGCAGAAAAGTTCATTAGAAGCCAGACAATGGCTGGTTCTGAGATGCTGGCAGAGAACAATGGAACCTGTGCTTGGACCCTCTGGTGAATTCCTGCTATTGAATAGTGCATTAAACCACAAGCAGATGGTCTCCCTCCTCCCCCTCCCCTACATCGCTCTTAGCAGATGATTGATGTCCACCTGGCAGTGAAGGCATTAGTGGGATGGGCAAAGGGGCATGTTGGCACTGTTGATTTCCTTAGCAAGAGGTTTACAGATGCGACAGCATTACTCACTCCTGGACCGGAGGGGAATAATTGGTGCACGTGAAATCTGTATGTTTTCTTCTGGGGTGAACTAACTGGAGTGAGGTAACTGGCTGGCCTAGAGGCGGTTATTTTGCTTCTTGCCTGCCAGCTTCACCCAACAGGAGAGGCATTGTTTTCCTTGCTGCAGAACTGGCAGAGAAGAGAATTATTTGTGATTATGCCGACTCTTGGCCATCTGCTTGCAGAGAGCACCAGCCTGAGAAAACAGAGTATAAAGTGACTGTTCCTGGTTGTGCTTCCCTGAGGGATTTTTGTTTTCTGGTACCACTGCTTGCAAGCAGCTTTCTCTTAGGTTGGTGCTGCTTTTGGATGTGAGGGAAATTGGCTTTGTTCAGTATATAAGTCTAAAGGCTATTGCTATTAAGAGAGATGAAATGTGGATTGTTTCATCAGTTAGATGTGGCATCAGTAGGAAATAATAATATACTGACTAGCTTCATAATTACGTTGCAGACATACAGAGTGCAGGACTGTTCTTTAATTTGTGCTAAACTGTGGTAGGGAGGGGAGGTGGATCTGGCAGTTTACATGAAGGACATTCAATTTTTTTGTCTTCTAAATTAATTATGTAGCAAAGGCAATAAAGTGAAAGTGAATTGTTCTAATTTGGGATGGATCTGCTTGGCTTGCCCTATTATAGCTTCCTTCCAAGGCTCATTTATTTTAAGTGTTTGCAAATACTATATTGCCTGTTTTGCAGGATGGTGATATAATAATAATTTTAATTTACTATTCCATTCATATCCTGCCTTTCTTCTATAATCATAAGATCTAGAGATAGATTACTCCAATAGCCTGGACCTAACCCAGATTTGAGTGTAACAAGCCATATTCAACACACAAAAAAGGAAAGATTATCAAGACCAAGTTCATTTCCTGCAAAGTTACATGGGATTTTGTCTCTGGAAATCAGACTACCAAGATATTAAACCTAGTTATGTTTAACAGCTGGGGAATGCTTAGGGAGAGCTTACTGGTGTGTTTTGTTCTGAAATTTTTAATCAGTTTGAATTAGCATATGGAGGTGATACAGGGAGTAGTTGTGAGGTGAGCTATCTATTACAATTAATAACTAACTAACTAAAACATAGAGGATACTAAGTTAGCCAGTTAAGTACCTGAAAAAAATATGGGACTTTGTTTCTATATATAATAATTACAGCAAGACATTTGTACGCACGAAAATGAAAAGACTCACAGATTCCCACAATGAAAGAATGGATAGTGAAGTTAGTGGAACTGGCTGAAATGATGAAATTAACTACACTGATTAAAGAAAAGTCCTTGTCTAATTTTGTTTTTACATGGAAACCACTTTTGCACTTTTGCTAGAAACGGAAAGAAATGCCACATTAATTTTAGGATTTGACAATTAGAAATGTTTATGTTTATAGAATTGAATTTGAAATCAAGAGGTTAATATATTTTATATTTGTGACTGTATCGAAGAAAGTTGGAAGCTATTCTTTCTTTTCGTTTTTCTTTATTTTTTTAGCACCTTCCCTTCCCCCTATCTTTTTCCTTCTTAATTGTTTTTTTACACTTCATCTTTCATACAAATTGAATCCAATATATAGCGTCTCTGGTAATAAAGTGTATTTGACCATTCTGGGTATCAGGTAGAACAGCAAATGATATATTCTATGGCATATCAATTTGAAATTAACTGGTGCAATATTTTTAGTAATGGTATATACTCCTTTGTGCATTTTGATGCTTAAAGAGAATTGACAGTTCAGTTTCCTCTTTTGTAATTTATCTGTTGCTATGTGAGTTATAACCACACTGAAACTTAAAGATAGTAACTAGAAAGGACACAAATATACATTGTTAAAGTTTGTCTCTTTTCATGTTTCCTTCCAGGCTGGAGGACTGGAGATCCCAGTATACTAATTTCCTGCGGAACTTACCTGGGGTCTTTAGACGAGATGTTTTCATACCAACGGTGTCCCCCACTGCACAGTCAACAACTGCTTTTACAATTTGGAAGGTGGCAGACAAGTGAGTGCCAGCTTCCCCAAATGGTTTAATGTTTCTTCTTTCCTGGTGCTGTTTCAGATGTTCTCGTGATATAAGCTAAGACCAGTTAGTCTGGTCATAGTTATGAGGAGCAGGGTATCTAGTCTGTCCTGAACAAGCTTATAAACAAAGAGCGGGCTAGCAATTGCAAGAGCTATACATCAGGGATATATAGTGTGCTTTGTGTCGGGTGGAAAAAATACTTTAGAGATAGCATTGGAATATTTTCTGCATCTTTCAATGCCTCCTTAAAAAGTCTACATCTTTTCCTATGTTGGCACAGTAGGCACACATCCGAGGAAAATCTATGTTTAAGCTAAGCAGCATGTTAAGACAAGTGTGCCGCATTCTTTTGGCATCTCATTAATGCCAGTGCATGTTTTCTTGGGACTGTATAGGTGCTATGCCAGCCCAGGAAAAGGTGCAGCATTTTAAAAGAGGTCATGAGAAGTTGCAGTGAAATCTCTTCGGTCCTTGTGAAACACCTTTTTGGGGGCTTTGAAGCTAGGTAGTATAGCACATCACTGCTATACTCACGTGACTGCTATACTCATTGCTATACTCATCACTGGTTCCCTTTCAAGGTAAGCAACATAATGTAGAATTGGAAAGGGAGTAAGAATTGTAAGCCAAAGAAATTAAATTGTGAGTTTAGAAAAAGAAAACAAAATAAAGCTCAGCCTAGTTCAATGGTGGCTAACCTTTTCGGCACCGAGTGCCAAAATGGAAGCATTTCTCTCCTTCTGCTCATTTACTAAGAGTTCTGTTAGTATCCACAATTTATTTACAATTGTTTCTATTCTGATTAACTTCTAACCTTTTCATTCCATAATTCAAACCATTCATTTAATCAGTTTTTCCAAAATCAACAAATGTACAAAAAATGATCTCACAAACAGCACAGGATCTATCATTTAAGAATTTTGCAAAGAATATCTCAATGCCCAAGTCACTCTTCTATTCAGCTGTGATTCAGGAGGATTTTGGTGAAATTTCAATTTGGGATTAATTTTCATCAAAATCCTACCTTGAACAGATAATCCGTGGAAAAAATCATTCCTGCATTTCAGAGTATATTTGGGCAGAGATGACAGAATACATGACTGAATCCATTTCTATAAAAGTACGCATATAAAAATTGAAAGGTGGTGAGAACTGTTTCTTGAGAAAATATTTATTTTATTCTACTCATTCTCAAAGCACATTTGTACATACACATTAAAGTAGTTAGCTCTTCTTTCTTTTGTTCAAAGTAATTTTTATATTACTTGGAAGTCGAGCTGGATTACCTGATGTCATAGAAATAAGATACATATTCATAATGGATTTCACTGAGACCAACTCCAATTAAAGATTCTCTGGCAAGAAATCTTTAAAAACAGCAAATAATTTGGGGAAGAATAAAACGGTGATTGATACAAAGAATGAAGGCAAGACACTTAAGCATTAAAAGAAACAGAGGCCTAGTTCAAATTGTAATTTGAAAGGGTGTCTGGTGAGAAGGGAAATTAAATAATGGAACTCTATTATGTGCAAGCTACCAACATTTGTGGACTAACATTTGTGGACTTTTGGAATTTAGCAAAGAATATGGGTGTCAGTGCAAATTTATAGAAATTAATCTCAAGAGAGATAATGGAGGACAATTGAAGTCTCATTTCTTTTTCCAAAGAGGATTGTTACTAGTTTCATAGACACAGCTTGGGCTACCTTTATATGTTACCTCTGACCCCTGCTGACAAACTGGTGGGTCAGATGATGCCAAAGGAGGTGTTAGATAGCATCCTAGAATTGCCATTTTATGTTGTGTCAGTTATCAATAATTTTTCCCCTTTTTTGGTTAATGTTTGTGCCACAGGAGAAAGATATACATGGCTGATATAGAATCTGCAGTGCTTTACAGTTTAAGGATAGAGGCTGCAGTATTCCCCAGCCTTGAGGGAGAGCGACTCTCTGCTTTGAAGGACTTTGTGTCTGTTTTGGTCCAGGTGAGTGATATGAAACCTTTAGACCTGAGAGACTTTCCAAACAATTCCTCTTTCTTGCTGCTTTCTCTCTCCTTATTATTCAAATTATGACCATTTGTTCAACAATTATTTGACACTAGTGTGACGCTGAACAAATGGTAGTTATACCTGGTCCCCAAAATTATGGCCATTGCAGCCCCCCCCCCATTGTCATATGATTACATTTTGGGCACATGGCAATCTGCCTGCATTTATGACCACAGGAGTGCTTCAACTCCCTCTATTTGCCTACCCCTCCCCCTTCTCTGCCATTTTGGCTGCCCTGCTGACCTTTGCCCTCTTCTTCCTGCCATTGCTGATAAGGTGTAGGGTAGCAAGGCTAGTAGAGATGGAGTGCAAGGCAGCCCAAAAGAAAGAGAAGTGAGGTTAATGGGGGTAGTTGAAGAGGAGACAGTCTCTTACCAAAATTTTAGGCAGGAGAGACCAGGTTGGGAATGGTTAGTCTTTGGCTAACTAGCCAGCCAAATATTATTTGGTTAATGATGGCAACCAGGACAAAATTAGACAAAAATCATAATTCCCCCATTAATAAAGTATTACCTCTGAACAACACTGTTTCTTTACCTTTTAGAGTATTATTAATTTTGTGCAGCATCCCTGTGAACTTGACTTCACTTCATGGTGTTTCTGTGCTCATAACACTGCTAAGCAGTATCTATGGACAATTCTGCAAAAGAAATTAGTATTCCCCAACTTTGAGGAAGATTTTTATTACTAAACATTTTTTTAATGTTTAGTTTTTTTTTTTTTAAGTTTTAAGGCCTTTGCAAAATTCAACCATCTTGTGAAATTTCATTTTTTTTAATTAAGAAAGACAGGGAGTGCCTCGCATCTGGAAAAATTACCTTTTGAAAATTGTGTACATGTTATGGAGGCTGTCATACACTGGTTGCTATGGTGGATGAGGCCAGTCATATAATATTGACAGGAGACCAATTCATGGAGATGCTTTCCAAATCCTGCTTTAGCCTTCAAGTATATTGACTTCAGTTGACCTCTGTCTTTTTTCTGGGCAAGTGGCCGTGTTCCTAGAGAAAGCATGGAGCTTCAACCCTATCATTTTCATTTTCTAAGAATCTCTCCAGGTTTGTTGGAGAAGGGTAGGCGTGGGAGGGCGGGGTGGGGTGGGGTGGGGGGAGGTAAGCATGTCATCAGTTTAGAGCCCTTGAGTTGCCGCAAGCATTCTAAATCCATCGCCTCCTGAATTCCATTGACCCTTCTCAGGTGCCAATTTAGTGTTGAACTTTAGTTGACCAATTTCTTTTGTATAGTGAAATACGAATGGTCCTGACAAGGATTTATGCATTCTTGGAAATAAAGATTTTGCTTAAGGCTGCGACTTTGCTTTCCAGCATGTTAGTTTCCCATGTGTGCTTTTTTTTTAAGCAGCATGATTTAAAAACCTGTATCAGCCAAACTCTCTGTGGGCAACACATTGAGAAACAAGGGCATAAATATTTGTGGTTCTGACTCAATATAAAGATTTGTTTCTCTCTTGAGAATCCATGTTTTTCTTAGCTGCATTCCAGGATTTCACTGAATACCATTCTTTCAAGTTTTTCTCACTCATCATTGTTTTAGAATAATTTGGGTTTAACAAAAAAGAACTGTAATAGTTTTGAGCAATAGAAAATAATTGGTTTGTCCAACTTTAGCATGGCCCCAATTAACAGTGTCTGAGCGTAAACTAATCTAAGTAGAGGTCCACCATAAATCCCAAGGGTCTAGATTAGACTGAGAAGTCAAAAATTATTCTGAAAGAAAGCAGTGGAAAATAACTTGCGTATTGTTGCCAAGAAAATTACATGAACAGAGTCCTCGGGAGCTGATCTGGATTTAGGACAATCAGATTGAATGCTAATATTGTATAAGATTTATTATCTCATTTCAAAGCATTTCTCTTATCTACTTACCCAACTTCTCCTAAATCCACTTCCTCAGAATGGCTGATATAATTCAGTGCATTTCTTTCTCTTTCCAAACAATGTCAGAGAAAAATTGAGCATGCATAATTCATACATTAAAAAGTAAAGCAATTGCATATGAAACACATGCTTGTTTCAATTCTACCTCCACGGAGTCTGAACCTTTCAACCTCAATTCTTTGTAAGTTGAATAGGCCAACCTATAGTGAAAAAACTATTCAAATTCCAAATTTTCATTTCTGACTACCGCAATTCATTTCTAACTATACAATTCATTTTGAATTTATGCCTATGAAACTGGAAGGAAAGATTTAAGCATTAACAGAACATCACATTTATTGTTTTGACTGCTTATACATTTAATGTAGTGTTTCTCAACCCTGACAGCTTGAAAATGAGTGGACTTCAACTTCCAGAATTCCTCAGCCAGCATTGGGAATGGCTTGGCTGGCTGGGGAATTCTGGGAGTTGAAGTCCACACATCTTGAAGTTGCCAAAGTTGAAAAACACTAATGTCTTCTAAGATACATCTGCTGCTTCTGTAATGTGGATATCAAGGGAAATCCTAAATGTATTTACAAGGCTTGAGTATAGGTTCCAAAGATCAGTTTTTTTGTTTGTTTGCTAAACTGTAATTCTTACTGTGATAGGAGAGGGATATTATTAGTTTATATGGACATAAAATTTATCTGCTTGGACAGGGATTTTCATCATTTGAAGCTATAGAAATCGTGGTTGAATATAAGTGTTAATAAGACACGTGCTCTGATGTTTCAGATTTCCTATATCACATATTCACATGGGCAAAACCTCTGTGTGGCTGGGAGATTATTAAATCTGCCCCTTACAATTGCCAAAGGGGGGGGGGGGTCTTAAAATAAGAAAATAAGAAATAAGAAAAGTCCAACAGTATTTAAGTGATTTGCTGGGTAATAATTTAGGCTTTCTCTAATACAGAGGTCTCCAAACTTGGCAACTTTAAGACATGTGGACTTCAACTCCTAGCTGAAGAATTCTGGGAATTGAAGTCCACAAGTCTTAAAGGTGCCGAGTTTGGGGACCCCTGCCTGCTCTAATACTTCTGTATGACTGAAGGTTTGGCTGAGCTCACGTTGTCACTCTGTGGCCTCAGTCCATTATTAATCACCCCTTCTTTCTTATTTCCCTTCAGTCTGTATACATTAAAAATACCAGCCATATCAAATTGTATATAATTTCTGGTTTTAATTGTAGCATAAACTTTGGTCAACCGATGTTGATGTTCTGAAAGAGCCCGTGACTTAACGATCTTTCCCCCCATAACCAATTTACATTTGAAAAAGCAGAGTCAGTGTTGCATCCAATCCAAAGTGTGTTGTTAGATTTGGGCCACAAGGTGGAGAAGTCTGACTAAGTTCCAGCTACTTAACTCATTATTAGCTAGAGAGAAGTTCCAGGAAAATGGTCTCCAGCACCAGTCCAAAGGCTGGGAAGACAAAACCTCTGATCCCCGGTTACCAACCCAGATTGGATCCTGTAACTCATTATTTCCTTGATCTTTTTCTTGCCAGGTTTTTCCATTTAATTACATTCCTTGGAATTTGGCTTCTCTATATCCAAAATAAAAATAAAGCTTTGGAAGGCTGTATTTTTATTACTATTACTGTTACTGTTACTACTACTACTACTATTATTAATATTATTATATTAATTATTATTATTCTAGAAGGTCCAAGATCTCAACAGGCTTTCTGCTACCTAGGCGTTCTCCTGCCAATCCTACTGTACTAAATTTGAAAGATAGATTTGTGATGCTTTAATTCTCTATAAAGCATGTCTGGCTATACATTTAAATAAGCTATCTTCAGATAGAACAGAAATTTTTAGCTCACTTGAATTCTCTGTGTGCTCATTTTTAAAGAAATAGTCAAAGAAATTTCTCCTTTCTTTCATCAACATCCATTGCTGATTTACTTTAATTGCACCCTGCCATTTAATACTGCTTACAGGTGTTTTCCTTTTATCCTTCCTCTCGATCAATATTCCTGTTTTCTCTGAACTTGCTCCCCTCCTCCAGTCAACCTGTCATTTGCCTGGCTTTCTTTTAGTGACATGGCTTTTTCTGCTACATTTTCTCCCTCCTCCCCAATTTGGAGCATATAGCTCTTTGATCCCCGCCCCTCCCTGGAGTGCTTGTGGCTTTAAAGTGCTGATGCTAATCGGATTTGAGATGACTTATTGTCAAAGTAGCTTTCTGTGATCCTTGGAGACTATTTTGGACTTAGAGTCAAGATTTGGATCTTGGCTGTAAGCCCATAGGGACTGACTTGTTTGCTACTGCAGCATCTTGAACACCACTCAAAAAAAAAAAAAACCCTCTTAGTATTAGCAAGTAGTGGGCTGGATTTGAGAGGAATGTCATATGGCCATTCGAAAACAGGAGATGTACTACTGAGCTTACAGGACAACTAGCTGTTGTCTGTTTTCAGTGCCTCTTTTTCAAGATCTGCCACCAATAACTGGATGGACAGTGCAGAAAGATACACCCATGGCCTTTTCAACAGAGTTGGAGCTATATAGGAAACAAGGGTATGGCTCCATTTATTCCTCTTTGCTGACTTGTGATCTCTGTGTGATTGGGTGGACAGAATGTTCTTGCATTTGGTGTTAACATTAAGCTTTTGGTGCTAAACAATGTCAAGGTCTATGCCAATAACTCTTTGCCACAATGGTTCATGGTTGTAACTGAATATTTTTCACACTGCTTTAAGCCTTATGTGTGGCAGCTAATATACTTCTTATAGTTTGAATAAGATGGAGCTAATTAGTGGTGGTTCTGTTGTAATAGATTTGCTACATGTTTTAGACTTCAATTGTCTATTGTGACTTAAACTGGCTTATTTGTCAGTCTTTAGTCTAATGGAGGCTAATAGGTCTTAGATTATTTCCTTTTAGCATACAGAATCCTGTATGGTCTCTGGAATAATGGGTTTTGGACAATAAATATGAGCCTGGCTAAATGTCCTATATTTGTTGAATTTGAAATGCCTGGATGAATTCTATTCTCTCTCTCCTCCACTAGAGGAGAGAGAGAATATCATGTGGTTGATTACTCTGGTACCTGCATGTGTCCTACTTGGGACAGAGGTGTTTCCCCCCCCCAAGTTAATGTAATATTGTTTGGTTGTTTTTTTTAACAACATGAATTTGACATGTCATTCAATATACTCTGCATTATCACACCATGATGCTATACACACATGCTTCGGAGAATGACTCCATCTACTCCTCTTAATCTTTTCCTTCCCATTCTTATTTTTAAATTCAGCATTTTGCTGGGCGGTTGGTAGTCAAGAATTTCCTTTACAACCTGGATTTATGGCTGAGACCAAAGACAATTGTTTTGCAGAGTGAATGGGAGGAAGCTCTAAAGAATAAAAAGGAGGTAGGTTATATATAAAATATATATAAAGCCCACTAGATATTGCTAGTATTTTGTCTCCAACGCTTCAAGCTCCAAGTGTAACTTGCTAAATGCCATTGTTATCATATAGTATGGAGCTATCTCAAAATCTAAATTTATGGCAAAAGTATATTGAGTTTCATTAAGTTGTATTATGAATGATGTAAATATTTTCTGTGATCCACACACACTGTTCTGTTTAAGTTTTTCTTTAACAATATATTGTCTTTGGTGTTATTGGATACTTTAAAAATAAGGAATTTATGCTTTAATAAATGTTATTGATAAATAATTTGCAATTCTTGCATCGATTGGGTTCTTCATTCATTTCTTGAGAATTGAATAATGTTCGTAACAGATTAGAATTACAATTAAGGCAGAGTATTTTGCTGTATTATTTGTCTCTACAACTATCCTTTTTAACGTTCTTTACCTCTGTTTTATTTTGCATAACATAAAAATTACTCTCCAAATTATTGGTTTGCAAGTGGCCAGCATGACTTAGGGTCAGCCGCATACTCTCAGCCCAGCCTATCTCACACGGTTGTTGTACTGGGGAAAAATAAAAGGGAGTACAATGACAGCGTCTGAATGAAGGGAGAAATATAAACCAAAGAAATAATTACATTAAAACATGGGGGAAATCCTCACTTGCCACCTTCCATATTCCCACTTAGGCAGATAATGGTCACTTTGACTATTATTTTAAAGTTTTTCATGCTGCTCATCACTGAGAATTACTTATATGGGATAGGTGGTGGTATTGATTGATCGAACGGACAAATGAATGAATGAATTTACTAATCGGATGGTTCAGAAACAGTGGGCAGCCCTTGCTTAATCTATCTTCTTGTCAAACTTCTTTCTTTCTTTCTTTCTTTCTTTCTTTCTTTCTTTCTTTCTTTCTTTCTTTCTTTCTTTCTTTCTTTC